ACTAATTATATTTATGACTATTTATGTCAGTCTGACATTTCTGACATGCCAATCAACACAAGCACATTCAGCGACACTAAAAAAACGTAATGTCGGTGAGACTCCATAATACCGTACTTCCTGTTATTCTGCAATTTGCACTTTCTGAATTTGCGTTGTTGTTTTATAACCAGCTTAATAATCTTAAATCTATTAGCGATGCTTCACACATTTTCATAAGTTTAATTGATAGTTTGTTTTCTCCTCTCTTCAAATTTGGCAATCAGTGATCATTACTTTAAATTCACCCTATTAGTGATAATACATGTAAAACCACCAATGTATTGGTATGGGAATTACACACTGTAAAACCATTTATTGTCACTGACATTTAATTTCACTATTTTGATGTTTTGAACATATTCACTGTGTTTTAATCTCATGAATTTGTCAAGCAAAACAATGAGTTTATTGTTATTTTACATGTTCACATAGATTTAATTTTGCAGATTTGATTTATCAGCGAAAATAGCGAAATTAAAACCCAGTGAATAATTAATGCATTTACAGTACGTTGCACTGAACCCAATATCAAACACAAGAAATTGTTACGGCTGTGATGCTTGTGGAAGTCTAAAAAAAAATTCTAGAATTAATTATCTATTCCATAGATACAGAATGTATTAGTAGTATTAGAGATACTAAAGTAGATAAAACAAGTTGATATACCGATAATATACATGTACCGGTAGTATGAAAATGTCACAGTTGTCATGTGTAGCGTAGGGTAAAATTTTGTGTCAAACAATGACATGGTGCTTCGAACAAACATGACATGGCACGACAAACGAACATGGCATGATACGACAAACGAACATGACATGACAACGACAGATGGGGATTTTAAAACTAAATGTTAAACCATGCGATAATAAATGTTATTTTCATAATAATTTTTTTTATTTCATATTTATATATTTTTATCTGACAATAATTATATAATTTTTTTTCTGACGTTATCAACGAATATATAGTCTATTTTATTGTCAGTCATTTGTTATTCTACCAGTAATCTGTGGAATCTAAACAAGCGTGGTTATGTTTGATCCAGTTCAGTTGTTTACATACATGGGGGAGGTTGGGACCTTTATAGATTAATGGCGTGGAGCGGTAATGTACCAGTAAATGTGTCATTGACAATGTTTTGATTTTTTGAATTTATCTCTGGCTGTTCATTGGTCAGTGACCGGATGCTGTTTCTGCAAATACACATTACCGTTAACTTCACTTTAGTACGTTCACGACTGTCACCATGTCTAGAAAACGTCAAGCGCTTATGACTTTGGATGTGAATTGAAACATCCCTAATGGTGTGTGTTTTTCTCGAGGTAAATTTCGTCGCTCACATCGACTAAGGCGTTCTCTCCCTTCTGCTTTTTGTAAAGGTTTACCAAAGAAAATAGGTTTATTGAGTGCCGATGCCGGAGATGCCTGTTCTATCGACAGTACCAGATCAGCTGGAACTGGTTCTTCACTTGACTCGATATCAATCGTAAGTATATACCTTGTGTACCATCATCAATTTTATGCAACGTTATTTCTAACGGAAATAATTTTCATTCAAATTTTTACTTCTCTGAAACTGTCAGCCATCTTAAATTTTAATGTATTCAAATATGGTAATCATTATGCAATAAGCTAAATTATTAATTTTATTTTCATGAAATACTGAAATCATGATATACACATATATTTTGTGAATTTTTATATATAAAAAATATGACCAACATCAGTAGAATACTGTAGAATACTTTATTTTCGCTGGAATTAATTTTCACTGAAAAGGCTTTTTGGGTGTTTTGTATGGAATTTATTTTCACTGATTTTTGATGAGTGTAATGTGAAATATAGAAAAAAATAGTATATTCGCTGGATTTTATTTTCATGGAATCATCCCTTCAGCGAAAATAGCAAAAATAAAGTATTCTACAGTACTGCATTTTCTCGTTTTAATAATGGAACATTGAGGTACAAGTACCGGTAGATGACGGGTGACCAAAGTTGTGAGAACATTTTAAACTTAAAAGTGTTTGCGACTTTAAAAGTAAATGCATGTACACTGACATTATGACATGAATCACGTCAACACTTCACTATTGTTCAATAGTTGTGTGTACGTGTAAAATACGGTATACTCTAAAGGTTTGGAGACTTCCTTATACATTTGTATTCTATTGAAAATTACCCATCCATGCAAAACTTGTGACAAGATATTTTGTTCTTTTATGCATTTCGGAATTGTCTTGTGTAAAATGACTTAACCTTGTCACCCCCCAGTTCCCTCTTTTCCTCACAAATTCACAAAATAGTCCCCTTTATAGTAAACTTTTCTTAGAAGATTGGGACAAAAATAGCCAATTTTTTTGTGAGTAAAAACTGAAAATTTACTCAAAGACTCAAATTTTGTTTGTTAGCTCCAAAATTAGAGTTCATTTCCAGAAATATTTTAGAATATAAACAAAAAACTGTTAAATAATTTGGGTGAGAATGTCTGGTGGTATGAAATGTTTATTATGCAAACAGGGTTGTTACAGTGAATTCATTTCTAATTCATAAGTTGTCATTTGTGTTTCCTTGTTGTTTTTTTTCACATGAAAGCAAAAAACCAGAGACAAAAAAAATATACCGGTAAATCAATGAAATGTTTCATGTTTAGCGAGAAGCCTTAATTTTAAATAAAAATACTACTTTGGTACAGCAAGATTATTAGGGTTAGTTTGAAGGTTGGTGGTCATCGTGCCGCGTCCTGCCCGATATGGGACTCATATCGACGTATACAACGCGTGTAAAATACCTTGTTTGTTTACATTAAATTTGAACATGTGCTGCGCAGCGACCACCACCCATTAAGAAGTACTATTAATAAGGTACATTATCAATAAGGATGTTCCAAGTATTGACATAAAATATGGAAAACAAGATAGTTTATAATGTATAATAATGTATTTACCTTTTGAGTAAAAGTTGCTGCATTTGGTCCCAATAATTATGCTATACATTTTTAATTTTTTACTAAATGCACATCAAATTGTTGACAAACTAAAAAAAAAATAAAGAAAAAAATTAAGGCTTATTTTGTGAATGGTGACTACAATTGACTTTGACATTCGCAGGATTCGTGTACAGTGGTATTATAGCATAATGATATAGGCATATAAAATTGGATCATTTCCTGCTCACTGTGAGATCTTGTGTTATGTGTGAAGTCAAACATAGCGTCGTTGTGGCGGGATATTTCTGAGCTTAATATTGTGCTATACGCATTTGATAATGGTCAAATTTGATGAGGTAAAGATACAATGAAAAAGATATTCAAGTTCAAAGTGAAATTATTCTATTTTTGTGGCAGATTTTTGAACTGTTTCTTTCATGCATTATGCAAGATCTTGGTAGGAAACGCCATGAAATGCTGATCATAAAGTCTAAAAGTTTGATGCCACGGAATCTACAGCGAAGTGGCTGTACAGTTGTTTGCAGTGCACGAGGTAGTCCAGTTTCTTGGACGTGCTGCTTTTGAATTTATTTTAAATATGAAACAGTTGCTTCTCAAATATTTAAATGATCTCAAGGAAGTGAAAACTACAATGAAAATAGGAAGTTGATGCGTGAATTTAAATGTCTGGTGTCAAGGAATCAAAAATAACTTGTCTTGTGTGCTGACGGACAGATTATGGTATTTGCCTGATATTTTATTTTTGCACTTTTGACTAGCAATGTATTTGTTGTATCTTGTGAATACAAGTATGCATCCATAGCAACGAGCTCAGTATATCTGTATTGTTATTGAAGAGAAGTATTGTGGGGTGCAGCAATTCACAAACCAAATTATTGAGAGTTGATCTGTTTTTGATTGAGCGAAAAGCAATATCCAAATGGTGGTTGTTTATTGTTTCATTTTTTACAGAGGAATTTTTGATTATAATCAACAAATATTTGGATATGCTAATAATATACATAATTTAAGCTTTTATCAAATATTAATTGATATGATTACATATTACCTGATGGTGGATAAATGAAAAAAATTAATTTAATCTTATGTTTGTTTGTTTTTCCCCCCCAAGGAATTCAATGAAGCAAATAGTTCGAGTATGTATTCTCTACCGGTGGACATGAGGAAGCTTGTGGTAGAAGGCATTCTGGAAAGTGATCAAGCATATTTGGAATGCCTGGATACTCTTCAAGATGTGAGATATTATACTATGTTATTATACATCTGTCGCCTTAACGCCATAAGTTATAGCATGCGGTAATTTTGCGGTATTTTACGGGTTATTTTCATCATACCATATAGAGAAATGCGAATTCCAAATATGGAATGATTACGCGCATAAGCGTCCTCTAATAATGAAAACAAACATGGCTGCCACCAGGGTTTGACCGAACTCCATGCAAAGAAGTTCGCTGATTCTGTTCTAAACTTTTTGGATTTCGGCATTCCCATGATGTATCCTTCGAAGATATAATAATAAGGTAATTACAAAGATACCTCCAAGTATGCACCGTCCTCCGCTGCGCGTTTGTTGATACTGCCGCAGTACTGTCTTTGTGCATACTTTGAGGTATTCTCGTAATAATCTCATACTATTCTTGCACATGTTTGTAAAAAGGATATTGACTTGAAAAAAGTTGGGGGTCACCAGCTTAATTTTCGAGAAGTTGTATTTAGAAGAAAGTTTCCAATTTGTCAGCATTATAACACAGTTATCATAGGTTTCTATGGCAGAGATATTATGTCATATCTCAAATTGTACTCTGGTGACTTAGGCTGAGAAAAAATCATATATTGTAAATGATGGGGTAATTTTTGTTCTCTTCAATTACTTTTTAAAATCTGAGTTTTAAAAAGTGTTAACATTGTGCTCTAGCGATTTTTTTAAAAATATTAGAACAAGTTTCTCAAAGTATGTCACTGTAACACACAATAGAATGCTATTTTATGGTGCCATGGAACAATAGCTTCATGATTTTACATGCCCCAATAAATATTGTCATGTGATTTATGACCAACTTTTTCCAAAATTATGAGTAGGCTTCTACTTTAAAGGTCTATTGTCTCCTTTATTTTGTTGAAAAAATGTGAAGCAAATTGGAACCTGAATCAAAGTTTTGGTAATTGTTCAACTTAATGCCCAGGGTACTCAGCTTAAAAAATCTTGATTTTAGTATTAGATGGGTGCTTAGTTGAGCATCCTCTCTTGAATGACAATTTCCGTTCATGAGCCAGAATGCAAAATAGAATTGCACAATGAGTTGCATCGTCATTGCTTTTTGTGACATTTTTACAATGAGGAAACAGAAATGCTCACAAAAATATGCTCATTTTATTACAATATTGTTTACATACCATCAGTGTAGGAAATTCCTGCCCGTCCGCATGCCCGAGACGGGTAACTTTCGTATCGGACTGGTTGAATTTCAAACTTCCCTGTCCGGTGGTCTGGTAACATGTTACCACATTCTTCCGCCGAAATTAAAATAAAAACAAGCTACCATTCTTTATATGTGCTCTAAACATTTTAAACAGAAACGTGATCAGCCAAAACTATGAAAATATTG